CCTGCCACTGCCGCCCCTCGCTCCTGCTTTCTCCTGGCAAGTGGGTGGTTTCCAGCCGGGATGGCAATGGCAGCTCCCTTGGTTATTGCAGACCTGCGCGACAGACAGGGTTCATAGCCAGCTGCAGAGATCATGCCCACACATCCTCCCTCGCCAGGCACTGGGCACAGATGTCGGGGCACCTCGTGCCAGGCAAAGCCCACCCGGGGCTCATGCAGCGGACCCCTTGCTGGCTGTCACCTCCTGGGGCACTGCTTTCTTCCCATCCTTACAGCTGTCCAGCCCCCCGGCAGGCCCAGACCCTCCCCATTTGGCTTGATTTACAAAGAGAAGCTGCTTGGCTCCCCGGGGGAGTTCTGCTGGAGGTGCTATGCCTGTAGCCCGGAGAGGCGTTCTGGCACTTCCACTGCCAACCCCCCCCTTTGGCTGCTCCTCCCCAGGGAGCTGAACAGCCCACAAACAGCGTGCAGCACCGTGACTTACGCCGTGGTTGTGGCACTTTGTCTTCATCGCACAGCTGTAGTTCAAGGTGGTGACAGGCACACACTGCTGGTTCAGACAGACCTGTAGCACAAGCACAAGCCCTGGGACAGCCAGCCGGGTGGGTACGTACCCAGCTCCAACTCTGGAAAGCTGCAGATCTTTTGGGAACTCACAAGGGAGCATCAGGCTTCGTGCCGGACCCCATCTGAAGGGGTCTGTGCTGCCCATAACATCCGTCCCAATGGAATGGATGGAGCCAACAGAAAATCTGCTGCCCTCGGAACCCCAATGCCGCTACCTTTCCACAAATATTCCACAAAGCAATACTTCCCACAAATCCTTCTCCCAAGGGAGCTGCTATGCATCAGGGCATCGCTTACCTTGTGGTCATCGCAGACGGTGCCGTCGCTCACCAGCATGGGGTCCCTCTCCGTGGGGGGCTTCATGTAGTCTAACGTTACACACAGCATGCTCTGCACCCGAGCATAAATCACCGCAGCCTTCTCCTTGGTAAAGGGCTTGGAGCCTGGATACTCACACACGAGCTTCCCGCATCGGAGATCCCTGCAAAAGCATTGTGAGCAACGGACCTGACAACAGCCTTTCCATTGTTCCATTCTGGCTCCATTGCCAACACTGAACGAGTGTTTGGAGAACGCCCGATTCCAGCACGTGGACACAGCGTGCTTGTCTTCCACGGGCCCTTTCCGCACACCCCATCCCAGCCTGTATGCCCACCGGCTCAGGTATGGCCAGTGCCCCTGCCCGTCCAGCCCCAGGTCGGCAGGACGTCACGTTTCTCTCCGCTGCTGGGCAGCTGAGCTGTGGGAAGCCCATCAGCACTCTGCCCCTGCCCTGCCATGGGGCCAGGCTCCCCGCCCCACGGCACAGCACACTGTGGCCAGAGCACCCTGATACCCTCGCTACACCACTTACTTCCACGCACAGTGCTGGTAACCACGGTGATTGGAGCCACAGTGGCCCATTCTGTCCCTTTGGCTGTTGATTTCTTCGTAGCAGGCCAAGGGCCCGTTCTTGGCACCTGCAAACACATGGCAACGCTCACGGTCTGTCCAACAGCCTCCTCACCTCTTGGTTGGGCATCACCACGTAGACACCCGCTGCTCAGCAATGCCCAAGAAATGTGGTGCATCCACTGGCTTTTCCACCAGCCCCTTGGCTGCTTGCTTTCACCCAGCTTGGATCAACTTCCATGAGTTCTCTTTCCTCACTGACACCTCCACTCTGGTTACAGGGACTTGGTCCCTTACGAACACCCCCAGACTAAGCCACGCCATGACAGCACCCCAAGGGACAGACAGCCCAACACATTTCCTCCCTTTCCCCTGCGCCTCCTGTCCCTTTTCACCCACACACCGCGGTTGGGCTGCCAGGGTTTCCCACTCCAGTGCTTCCCTTCCAGGTCTTTGCATTTCTCACATGACAGCCAGCCCCGCTTCTGCAATCTGTCCCCCTTACCCCGTCCAAAGACCTTCTGGCACTGCTTGTCGGCTGTCTGACAGACTCCCCGGTAGCAGAAGGCGGTGTTCTTCCTGCAGGGATGCCCATCCATGACCCAGAGGTCGGGTGGGCACTCCCCAGAGGTGCCGTTGCAATATTCCTTCAACTCACACTCGTTCTCGGAGCTGCTTCTACATAACGTGCCTCTTTTCACAAACTAGAGGAAAGAAAATAGATCAGATTCAAATAGAATTTCAATACAACAGAATGAGAGAGAAGAGAGAGAAAATAGGAAAGAGGGAAAAGAGAGGGAAGCAAGATCTTGCATGTGGACACATATACCTGTGCCCTAAAAATCCCTTCCTGGGACACAGGCACCTAACTGGCACCAGCACTTCCCAGCACTCCCTTCCCTTTCCGACACTCACCGACCCTCCGTATCAGCACACCAGCCAGCACCGTCCGCCGGATGCACTGTCCCTGTCTTCCCCCTTGGGTCCCATTATGTTCCCGCTTCACATTAGGGATGTGAGTGATGCCAACTTGGGCTATCCCCAGGGAATGCAGCGTGCCTGCTCCCACCACACTGCTTACCTGGCATTTCCGACAGCACGGTCCCGACAGGCACTGCACCCCTGGCCTCGTCTTGCAGCCCACAGTGCAGCACGGATCACGCCGACATTCCTGGAGGGGACCGGTGGGGACACTCAGGTGAGGTCCCACTGTTCCCAAGGACAAGCTGGAGAGTTTGGCCTTTCCCTCCGGCAGCCCCTGTCCTCCAAGGCAGCCATCTCCCAGACTCCCCAGTGGATTGTGGCACCGGGGTCCCCTCTGCCATGCTGGCTGCCACCACCCATTCCCACTCCCATGGCAAGACCCTGTTTTCAGCCCTCACAGCCACACAAGCCTGAGGCTGTGGGGAGCCATTGCCAGCGCTGGCAGCACTTGCGGGGACAGAGATCGCTTGCAGATGTGCTCCCCAGTTCTCTGGTGCAACAGCAGACCTGCTGCTCTACCAGACTGTCCCTGCTGCCTCTGCCTGTGCCCTGCCAGCAAGCCACATGACCACTACAGCCCCCCTGGCATCCCCACAACATTGCCATGTGCCGCTTCAGTGTCCAAAACCTCTTTCCAAATGGTATCCGCAGTCAGACACCTCAGCAGGTCCTGAGGGTAATCCTCCCAGCACACTTCAGGCTGTGTCCCTGCGGTGGGGGTGCAGGGACAGCCCCTCTTTGCAGCTACAACCCCTCACAAACTCCCTCCATCCATCCGTTCCCAATGCCACACCATGACCTGCTTTGGACATGGTGGCAACCATAGCCAAGCATCTGCCTGGCTTTAGGGTTTCACAAAGCCTCGGGCCCTCTCTGCCCTGCACAGAGGTCTGGGGGGGTATAGGAGCAATTCACCCTTCCCTTGGGATTGTGCTCCAAGGCTCCACAACCAACCTCTGCCGTACCGCAGTCACAAGCCTCTCCTGGCTCCACCACTTTGTTGCCGCACACGGGAGCTTTATAGGCTGCATCCATGGTTGTCCTGTTCAGCAGACACTGTCCTTCCCCGGCGGCGAGAAAACGCTGGAAGTCTCTGATGCTGCAGCTGCTGAAGGCTCTCACACCAGACGAGCGCCTGCAAGATGGGACAGGGCTGCCTCCACCACGGTGTGGGGCTGTGTGGCCCTTCTTGCCCACAGAAAAGCTGCTCTCCACTGCTGTCATCCCAGGAGCTGCCCACCATCCGCCTCCCGATGCATCGGCACCGTGCACACCCCCCGTATGCCGAGGGGAGCCTTACACTGAGCCGGTCCCCATGATGCAGGCGGCTGCTGCGCAGCGACAGCTCCGGGGATCATCGTACGTCATCCCCAGGCTCAGCCCCAGCAGTCGGGCCACGACGACTGCCAACGCCTCCAGCCTCATCGCCCTCTGGCACTACAGGGGCGGCAAGGACCAGCCTCAGCCTGCCGTCACCGCCGTCACCGGGCGCTCCTGAGGCACTGCATCTCCAGGCACAGGAGGTTTTGGGGAGGACAGACAGTGGTACCGTACCAGGGCAACAGCTCCAGCGTGGTTTCTGAGACACAGCTTCCTCGCAGAAGACGCCCCTTCGTAACGGGAGTGCTCCCTGTAACTGGGGAAGAGACCAGAGTCAGTCTGACACACGGTGTAACAGCACCTCCCTCTTCCTTTCGTTTCCACGCTAACACAGCCATCCTCGTCTCACACGAACAGGAACGTTATGTCCCGCAGCCGCAATGCGCGATGCACATTCTTCCACTGCAAAAATCTCTGCAGCAACTCCTCGGCGTCTCCCGCCGTTGGGATTTTGTTCTTTTCCGTCCAAAACTCCAGAGAAGACAGTACTATCGTCAGATTGAGGCGAGCAAACATCTAGAGGCAGACACCACGGCTGGTCCACAGAGCCCTGCGGTTCCACGGCTTCCCGCTTGCTTCAGCTGCGGGGCCTTACCCGTGTCACTACCCCACATCTCCCGTGCGCCTTCAGGATGCGTCCCAAAGCCACTTACGCTGTTCACGTAGCTGAAAAGCTGCACCATCTTGGCCGTCGCAGCATCCTTGTCTGCCCCCATGTAGTCGTACTGAAGGGCGACAAACACGAGTGCATGTCAGCGCACCCTGCAAGGCGAACTCTCCGAGAGCGCTGGCTGTGCTCCCTGCCACAGCATATACTTGTCCGTGCCCAAGGGAGCTAGATCCCATCGCGTGGAGACCCTCAAGCCTGGCGCAAACTGCCCTTGGCATTCTTTTTTGGACGCTGCACGCAGAGGTCTGTTGTATCAGAGGTGACAATCTACAGCGGAGAGGATGCAAAGACTTACCAGAGCCTTGTCCAAAACTGCGTGCGTTTTCAGGTACCGAGGGGATCTACCGACAGCTCGCGTGCTCTTTAGGAAAAATCAAAAAAACCCAAAACTAAACAACAAAACCGCCCCACACGCGCGTTGGTGCTCTGCGTGGGAGACCTCCGGGTCCACGGCCAGTTACTGCACCTCATGGCCCGTTG